ATGACATGATTTTTATGTCTTTAGCATGACTGCTATCATCTGATCGAACGCAACAGACTAGTAACGAGTTTGGCTATTAGCAACAACCCTTTCTTGGCATTTTTTAGCTTTTCATCGAAGCTGCTTTGAGAGTAAACTGGGCTGTGAAAAAGAGATCGCAACATACGCTTGTTAAGCTCATGGTTGTAACTTCCTGATCAAGGTTACTGTAATGCCGAAAAACCAGTATTACCGCCTGTTTTATCAGCGAAGAGATTCCGTCCTTCTTAGTATGTGATCAATTTCACAACGCAGAAGGGAGAAAGGCTGAACTTATAAAACCTTGCTCTCGCAGTTCGTTTTTTTCGCATGTAACTGTAACATAGAACGATGACTAGGCACTACGGAAGATGAATAGAGCACGAAAATCGATGTCCAAATCGAAGAAATGGAAGTGGTTCTTTCATGATCAGAATCAATGCTTAGTTGACCTTTGAGTACAGTAACAAGGGAAATCGAACGATCGAATGAGAGGTATTGTCGTGTGGCCTGTGACAAAAGAGTAGAGTCACGTGAGGTTACACACTCCTCTCTAGCTCCTTGACAGCAAAGTGGCACAGAAGAGGGCTTAATTAACGTTATTTTTACACGATTGCAATACGCTCTGCGAAACTTTTACTGGATTGAAGTTGCTTGTGATGCAAAAACCAGGGCCATGCCTCAGAATTTACTCGATACGTAAAAACTGCTTATATGCCTTACATAAGATAGATCAGCGTCAAGTTTTGTCTCGCATAGTCAGTCTGAGTTAAGTCCAACTCAGCAATTAAAGCAGGCGGCGAAGCGTAGACGACTGAATAGCCAAACTATATCTGGTCCAAGAACTCCTTCATGCAGGTTGATCTTATATTCACCCGCGACTTTTTCCTCGAATTTCAATGAACGATTTGAATTATTTACAGAGAGGAAACATCACTCGCGCAAACTGTGAAATACACAACCACCAAAGTGATCTGAGTATCAATGCTCATGGCTGGAACGGCAACCTCTGTGCTAAGGTGATGCACTCACTTCGCAGTCGATAAAATTTTTTTTATCATTTATCCTTTTAATCTATTAGCACTTTGAAAGTATCGCTGTGTGAACAGGATAAGATCCGTACTGATCATGCATTTTTGTAGTACATTGACCAACGGCAATGTCCCCTCAATTTTGAATCAAGTTGTAGATTGGATGCTCAGCAGAAAGTAGCTTGGCGTTTCCATCGATCAGAGTCTGCACTTCAGTGCACACAGAAATAGCTGTCATCAAAATACGGCAGTGCTGCGGTTATTTTTGTTGTTGCAAGATCTAGCTTCATTACAAAGCTCCAAAGGAATTGGATACGGTTTCTAAGAACCTGCGACCTCCTTTAATTGCTTGTGTTGCGCCAATGTACTTCTCCCTTCGTAACCTGGAACTACGCATATTTCGATCGATCTTGAACATTGTCGATTCATATACCTTATATATGAATGCGTTCAGCGTCACTGTAGATGGGAACTGTAGAGCGTCACTGAGGTTGGAAAATCTGTTGTAAAACGGAGCAAATCTATTCCAAACGAAACTCTCCATCGCTTACGCCACGCTATTTCAAAATACACTTCAAGGTCTCATTCTATGTCTAAATTGGTTTGATCATGCAGAATATCTAGCAATCCCGCCTATGGTAGGGATATTCCAGAATCCATCGTCTCATGCTATTCATGCATTTAGATATGCATCTGCAGTAACCGTCCACTGAATAATCCCTTAGCTCTTCATCATTCTTTATTTTTTTTCTAATTTGTGTATGTAACTCCGCCATGGCCGGTCCCAAGACTGGATGAGAATCGAGGAGGGTTGCAGACCGTGGCAACTCCTCCGTAAAATTCAGCCCCCTGCCACTCATGGTATTGACGCCATCGAAAATTATACCGGCTCGGTCGTCGTACCGGTTACCAAGCGCCG